AGGGTTCACGATTTATAAATTAGAGCAGAATTGGGTTATCCCTGTAATAACATTCTCCCTCACATCTTTCTCATATAGAATAGAAATGGGGTGATCACCCTGCTGCAGCTCCTAGGATGAGCATTGCTGTGACACTGTCCATGGCACTGACAACCACAAACTATCCAAGGCTTGGGAGTTGTGATCTTTGAGCTGCATCTGCTTTCCTTTTGTTCTTATCAACTGAGCATGAGTAACAAGGAAGAGGTGGAGAGGGCTGCAGGGAGTATGGATCAACCTCTGTCTCCATTGCCGGGGGACAGTGGGGGTGCTGTGGGTATCGCTTTAGGAACTGACTCCACAGTCAGGATGACCAAGTCCAGGCTGCCCATGGGCAGTTTGTGATGAAAGAAGAGAATGAACATGGCCTTGAGAGGTGTGGTAGTCAGAACAAGGACCCCTCAAAGATGTCCACATCCTTATCCCCAGAATCTGTGAATATGTCGCCTGATAAAGGGAATTTACAGATTAAATTCAGGATCATGTAACTGAGAGATTATGGTGGTTTATCTGGGTGGGTCCAATGTAATCAGAAGGGTCCTTTTTATAAGTGAAAGAAGGAGATAGGAGAGTCACAAGCAGAGAAGGAGATGTGATGATGGGAGCAGAGCACAGAGAGACTTCAAGATCCTACGCTGTTGGCTTTGAAGATATAGGAAGGGGCCACAGGCCAAGGAATGCAGGCAGCCTCTAACAGCCTGAAAAGGCAAGGAAATGGACTCCCCCTTAGAGCCTCCAGAAAGAACAGAGCCATGCTGACACCTTGGTTTGTTTTGTTTTATGCTGATAAGCTTGTGGTAGTCTCTTACAGCAGCCAAAGGAAACCAACAGGAGGCGCCACCTTGTCTAACCCAACACCGTGTGCAGGTGGGATAAGGAATAACTTAGAGCTAAATCATGCTGTGAAACTTTGTGGGTTTTGTAACTCTCTCTCATCTCATGACAAACAGCACACGGGTAATGGCAGAACATCCTTGTGAACTGTGGACTCCCTGTCTTGGTGATGGAGCACCTTTGTTTGTGTGAGCGTGGACACCCCGATCCAAGTAAACCTACATGGGAACATCACCCTTCCTGGGTGACGTCAGTCCTTCAGAGAAGGACTGAGAACTGCTGGCCCAGGTGTGTGGAGGGGGCTGCCGGTGAGGCACAGGTGGGAGGAGGCCCGTGGGCCAGGTCGAGGAGGAGACACTTTGTCCTGTTGCCAGGGCTGTCTGGTGAGTTTAGGTGGGAGGAGCCCATGGGCAGAAAAAGAGCAAATGAGGGGTAGGGCCGGCCCTGTGGCTTGGTGGTTAAGTGCGCGCACTGCGATGCTGGTGGCCCGGGTTCGGATCCCGGGTGCGCATCGAGGCACCACTTCTCCGTTCATCCTGAGGCCGAGTCCCGCATACAGCAACTAGAAGGATGTGCAGCTACGACATACAACTATCCACTGGGGCTTTGGGGGGAAAAAAAAAAAAAAGAGCAAATGAGGGGAAGGTCCTCTTTATTCAGATCTCTCAGGTGGTCCACGGTGGGTTCCAAGCCCAGTCACTTTCTTTGGGAGCCCGCCACTTCCTGGAGCGATGGGAGCCTTTGTCCTGGGCTCAGGGCAGCTTCTTGGGGTTTCCAGACATCCAAGAGGGAACCGAACCTCCGGGCCCAGGTCCCTGAATATCCTCAGGGCTCAGAACTGATTCTCTGGCTCATGCTGCAGCTCCTGACCCCACCCAGGGTCTGGGGGTGGTTCTCAGGAGGGCCCCTCCCTACAGCTCTTAAGGAGCGGCTCCTGGAGGAAACTAAGAAGCCACATCTGCTTTGTGGTCAATCCGGCAGTAAATGTTTGTGTGGGGATGTAGTAAATCCTGTAAAAGAGAGAAGAGGCCTCCAAGCCCCTGTAACATTCTCAGAACATGTCTCAGCCTGTCCCAGGCCGTGGGCCCACACAAGCTGCTCTGTGGGGTCCTGACTGTGCTGGGGGTTTCTGGCCCTAGGCCCTTCCCTCCTTTCACCACCCCCTGTTCTCCTCTTTGCTGCTGTTTCCTGAACCTCGAAGCACAGCCAGGGGTGGGCTGGGGGACAGATTTTGGTCCCCCTTGGGCCTGTGGCACCAGAACATTCATGGCCCACACTCACCTGGTAGATGGGAACAGCTGTCCTGGGGCCGGGTAGGGGGGCCTGGGAAGGGGAGAGAGCAGGTGTCAGGGGACAGGGAGGGAGGGTCAATTCTCCTCAGGGGTGACCAGCTCTGTCTCTGGAGCAGCAGTCTCCAAACCTGTAGCCCTGCACCCCAATCCCAGTGCATGCTACCCCCACCCTTGTTAGCCCAGGACCCCCAACCTGATGCTCCTGGTGCCCACTCTGCTCCTGGCTAGTCTACAGGATTCTCTTCAGGCTGACTGAGGGGGCCAGGGAAGGTGCAGGATAGGTTGGGGGTGGTCCTGCCCCTGAAATGGGGCCCACTCTTGGCCAGGGCGTGGCTCACTTTTCCTGAATGTTCTGGGGGACGGGGGTCTGCATTGTGCTTCAAGATGGAGCAGTCCCCTTGCCCTGAGCCTGCACAGCTGGAATCCCGAGGTAAAGGGATGGGGACAGGATGGGCTTACCGGGCATGTGGAGCTACTGGAGGAACCATGGCCTGGGAGCAGAGACAGGGGTTAGCAACAGGGGAGTGAGAAAGTTTCAGCCCATCCTCCCAGGAGGTGCTGGGGACCTCAGCTCCCAGACAACGAGGGGAGATACCCTCTGGCCTTTTTAGAGTCCAGTGAGGGCAAGGTGGTGAGCCATGATCAGACCCCACAGGTGAGGGCTGACTAGCCAGTTGGGGTCCCCTGTGCTGAAGCCCTAGGGAAAGAGTCAGATGCCCCAGGGATGACTGGCAGCAGTGGACACAGTGGGCAGACCCAGGGGCTCCCAGCTGCTTCCGGGCTGAACGGACACTCACCGGGGGTGGACGCTGGGGACCGGTGCTCTTTGAGGTCACGCTGGCCACTGGCCCTAGGAAAGGTCAGGCTTATTTGTGAGATTGCAGGGAGAGGTCACAGCTTTGGTGTCAGAACAGGGGACAAGGGGGGTCCCCTTGGTGCAGGGGGTGGAGACCTCCTTTCTCCGCCAATGCTGTTTAGGAGGGGAGGGCCCAGGAGAGGCGAACTGAGGAAAGGCCTTAAGAAGCCACGTCTGTCCTGGGCCCCGAGGGAAAGGATCCTCAGGCCGATGGCGGTCTAGAAGTAAGTTGCCAAGAAGGGACTAAGGAATGATACCACTAGGGTCTGACTGAGTGGAAGGATCGAGACCCTCAGAGGAAAAGCAGGGCCACTTGTGCAGGCCAGTTGGGGACCCCCGAGGATCTTGGATCTCACGAAATGTGGAGCCCCTGCTGTTGCCAGACCCGCCCCTGAGGCCGGGAGATGCTGAGATGTGACCGTGGCCGCGTCCTTTATCTCCATCTGCCTGGACAGAGGCCTAAGGACATCCCAGGACCTGCTGTCCTGACCGGCCCAGTTACTCCTTCTCACCGGTCAGGGGCTGTGGTTACCGCATCTGCCACATGGGGGCGTTTGACCCCCACCCGGCCTGTCCAGGCTCTTCCACTCTCCACTGTGTGACCTGGGCCAGGGCAGCCCTCAGATCCAGGCTGTAAATTCCCCTCACCAGGTGGGCAGGGTGAAATAAAGAACAGGAGGTACCGTTCGCTGAGCTGTTACTACGGGCCAGCACTGCTGTGGGTTTGCTGAGTGAACAGGGACAACACTAAGGGGATGTTTTCTTCATTGTGCCTAATTTGTAGATGAGGAAGGCGTTGAGGAAGCAGCACCAGGTGAGTGGCTGGTGTGGAAGGAGCTGGATGGAAGGAGAGGGGAAAATACACGGAGAAATTGGGCAGCCGTGGAGAGCCAGGCCCAGAATCCGAGAATGGGGTCTCCTTCCTCCTGGCCTGGGGTCAGCCTGGGGGACTGGAGCAGCGTGCCAACAATGCCATCATACCTGCTAGTCCTTGTGAGGAACAGGAAACATCCCAGGGCAGCTGCCAGTGCCACGCCGACCAGGACCCCAAGCACGATGCCCACAATGGCTCCCACAGGGAGGCCTGTAGTGGTTTCTTCTGCTGAAAGCAGAAGAGAAAGGGGGAGAGGGTGAAGGCCCAAGTCCATTCCAGGGGAAACCACAAGGGGCCCTGCAGGGGAAGGGCCTGGCGGAAGGAAGGAAATGCTCCCGAGGTCTGTGTGCGGTCTGTGTGTGTGGTCATCACAACGTCCTCCCGACACCCCCACAGCCAGCGGTTGCATCCTGTTCTGTGTCTCACATTTGAAACCTTGGACTTGCTCTAACTCCTCACATTCTCCCACAGGTAGCCAGTCCCATGTCCTGTTCATTTTCTTTTTAAGGCCTCTTCTCCTCTCACATGACGCCTTTTCCCTCTGCTTCTTTCCGTCATTATTGACTGTCTTAGAGGGCAGGCCCTATAGGTCAGCCTGACGCTGATTAATAATAGTAATGATGTGAGCTGACTGTTTTCCAGTGCCTCCTGTGTGCCAGGCACAGTGGAAAATACTTTACATCCCTCTCATCGGTCCTTCCATCCCCAGCAGGAGAGGGGGTGTCGTCCCCACTGTGCATCAATAGAACTGAGACGCAAATGCTCTATAGAGGTCATGGAACTGGGAAGTGATTTTTACAGCTAATGACAACATTAATAAAATAACAGCTGCCAGCTTTGATTGAGCCCTGACTCTGTGTGTGACCCTAAGGGCTTTAATCCTAATAAACATCCTCACAACAGCCCTAAGATTCAGCTGTTCTATTCCAGTTTTATAGGTGAGGAAACTGAGGCTCAGGTGCTTGAGAGTCTTGCTCAAGGTCAAACATCTGGTGCCTATCTGAACCAAGACAACAAGAAGATTAGCCTCATTCTGGGGTTCTTATCCATGTTGTTCTATAGGCTCTGAAGGAAGCTCCCACCTCCTCAGGGCTTGCATCATTTCACACCCCCACCAGTGAAATATATGAGAGAGGAAGTGGGAGAGGTTGAGGGTCACTCACAGCTCACGGCCAGGGTGATGAGGTCACTTTTGCTGGAACTGACTGGGTTGGAGACCTCACACTGATAATCCCCGGCATCCTCCCTCCTGACAGGGTCTATGGTGAGGGTGCTGTTGTCCTGGGACAGCTTCATCCGCTCTGTGAGCCAGAGACTCTGGTTATTGAAGAACCACTGGATGGAGATGCCAGCGTCACGTGTGAGGCAGGTCAGGACCACAGCGTCCTTATATTCTGTGACTATGGTGTTGCTGGCTTGGATGGAGGGCTGTGCCACTGAGTCTGTGGAGACACAGAGGAGGCGACTGACTGAGAGTGGGCCTGGGCCTGGGGCCACGCTCCTTCCTCAGAAATCTCAGCCAGTTCTCAGATCCCACAGTGGGCTGTGTAAGGTGACCCAGAGGATGACCCTGACCCTGTGAATAAGGTTGTGAGTATTTATTCAGGTGACAGTCTGTAAGGAGAGGGCTGCACCTCCCCTCTGACCCCCAGATCACCCCAGGATGACCCTTGACCAGTTCCCCTGGACATTTTTGTAGTGTCAGTACCAGGAACCTCTTCTCTAACTTCGTGTCCTATAACTTCATCATCAAGTGGAATTTTTGTCCCATGGACTTTCATGTGACTCTTTCTAGAAGTTTTGTGGCTTTAAAAGGTCGGGCCCTGCTCCTCATGTAAACTTGCCTGTGTTTTGGGGAAGGCAGGTCTGCCAGCCCCGTCCATCTCTGGGGCCAAGGGAACTTTACACGAAGTAGGTATGTAGTAAATACATATAAAGGTATTTCCTTCTTGTTAAATAATTTGTTAGGGAATGAGGATGGCCCCACCCAGGTTTCCTGACCTTAGGATCTAGAGAGCTTCTATCTAAAGGATTTCTCACTCTGAAAAGGACTTTTACTTCCAGGTCTGTGGATTGAATATCACAGTGAAGGAAATCTCTGGAGAATTGGTTACCAATTTAACAAAATACGGGCACTCTTAGGAAGAGAGGGAAATTACTGCAACATAGTGAAGGCCTTACATGACAGGCCCACAGCCAGCAGCATACTCAGTGGGGAAACACTGAAAGCTTTTCCACTAAGATCAGGAAGAGGACAAGGATTCCACTTTCACCACCCTATTCAGCATAATCTAGACGTCCAAGCCAGAACAATTAGGCAAGAAAAAGAAATAGAATGCATCCAAATTGGAAAGGAAGAAGTACCATTACATCTGTTTGCAGATGGCATGAACTTATGTGTAGAAAACCATAAAGATTCTAAAAAAAACTTGTAGAACTAATAAATGAATTTAGCAAAATTGCAGGGTATAAAATCAACATACAAAAATCAGTTATGTTTTGATACACTAATAATGAATATCTGAAAAGAAAATCAAGAAAACAATTGCATTTACAGTAACATCAAAAAGAATAAAGTACTTAGGAATTAACCAACGAGGCAATTGCCTTGTACTCAGAAATCTACAAAATGTTGCTGAAAGAAATTAAAGAAGACACAAATAAATGGAATGACATCAGTATTCATGGATGGAAGGGCTTAATATTGTTAATATGACAGTACTACCCAAAGAGACCCCCAGATTCAATGCAATCCCTATCAAAATCCCAACAAAATATTTTGCAGAAATTGACATTCCCAAATATTCACATGGACTCTCAAGGGACCCCAAATAGGCAAAATAATCTAGAAAAAGAACAAAGTTGGAGGACTCACACTTCCTGATTTCAAAATTGATTCCAAAGCTACAGTAACCAACATCGTGTGAGTTGGGCATAAAAGACAAACATATAGCCCAATGGAATAGAACAGAAACCCCAGAAATAAACTCTGGCATATATGGTCACATGATTTTTTGACAAGCTTGCCAAGACCTTTCAATGGGGAAGAAATCTATTCAAGAACTGGTTCTGGGAAAGCTGGATATCCACATGCAAAGGAATGAAGCTGAACCCTTACCTTACACCATGTATAGAAATTAACTTAAAATGGATCAGAAATCTAAACGTGAGTCAAAACTATAAAAGTCTTAGAAGAAAACAGAGAAAACACTTCTTGAAATTGGATTTGTCAAGATTTTATAGATATGACACCAAAAGCACAAACAATAAAAGAAAAAATAGATAAATTGGATTACATCAAGAGAGAACATTTCTGTGCGTCAAAGGATACAATCAAGAGAGTGATGGCAACCCACAGATTGGGAGAAAACATTTGCAAATCGTGTCTGGTAAGAGAGAAATATCCAGAATATATAAAGAACCTCTTCAACTCAACAAGAACAAAAAGGAAGTTGACCCCAAGGACTCTTCTTCCTTCCCCATCTGCAAACCCCCCACTTTCTGGGGCTGAGAGAACCCCCTCCCCACATTCCAGGCTGGACCCACATCTGCCCTGGGAAATCAGAGAGCAAGGGGGGGAAGTGTCTGCAGAGATGTGGTGGGAGGATTCAGGGACAGATTTGAGATTTGCTGGTGTCCGTGGAAACAGGCTGGGAAATAGCTTCTTTCAGACTCTTTTCTGAAAACCAACAGCCTGCACCCCAGAGCCTGGTGCCGATGGTCCAGGGAGCCACTACCAGAGACCGTGATGGTCTTGACTGTGGTCCCAGTGAGGCCAGGGACAGAGTTATGGACGAGGCAGGGATAGGATCCACTGTCATTCACAGTGATGATGGGGATGAAGAGCTCCGGTGTGGATTGCTGGGGCCTCCCATTGATAAGCCAGGAATACCGTGCAGGCGGGTTAGAGGCCGTGTGGCAGGAGAGGCTGAGTATTACCATCCAGATGCCCCTGGATGGTAATAGGAGTCTGAGGGGGAAATGGTGGGGGCATCTGGGCCATCTGGAGCAAACAGAGTAAAGCCGTTTGTGATGTAATCAGAGGGAAGGGGAAGCTCCTGGTCTGTAAAAGGGCCACAGTGTTCCTCTGAGCCGGATCACACCCTTGTTTTAACGAGTCCCAACCATGACCCCTCTGCGTTCACTCATGCTGAGTCTGAGACATTAACCTGTTTCTCCCATCACAGGTTATTAACCCCAAGCCTCTCAAGACAGCAGCAGCCCGTCCTCTCCTATTCTTAGCTCAAGGCTGGGCCTGCACAGATTTGCCTGAGACAGGAAGTCATGGCCAGCCTGGTGTCCAGGGGTGACGGTCTGTGTACTTGAATCTGAGAGGGATGGATGTGGCCTGGCCTCTGGTAGTGTGGATTTGGGCAGACACGCTGGGCCAGGTAGGGACAGGAGTTATTTACAGAGAACATTGAGGTAGAATGGGTGGCTACGACGGGCACTCACTGGGTTCCGGGTTTCACACTCATAGGGTCCTGTGTCATTCCTTGTGACACGGAGTAAAGTGAGAGTCCTGTTCCAGGGACAGCTCTAGCCAGGTGCTGTCCGGGAGGCTCTGATTGTTGATCAACCACAGGTAGGTGGTGTCCTGAGTGTCAGGTTCACATGTTAACACTACAGGGTCCTCGTGCTCCACGGGGCTGGAGTTGTTGCTTGTGATGGTGGGTGTGGGTAACTCCGTGTGCAGGTAACAGAGAGAATGTTGCCCTGTGTAGTACCTTTGATTCAATCAGAGTTGGCATCTCTCACCTCTTAAGTCCTTGAAAGAATAATGCAAGAGGATCCGAGTGCTCAGAGATCTAAGGCCACTTGCTCTATATCTGTGAGAAAGCGCAGACTTTCTGAGGTATCCATTCTGCAGCAGTGTTTGGTCACGGAAAGACACAGGACAGGAGTCAGAGACCCCCTGGCGCCTCTCCTAGTTTTTTCCTGACCAGCTGACTGCCTGGCCTGGGGACTGGGAGTCTGAGCAGAAATGAACGTGAGGAGACCAGGAGCAAGCCCTGAGGTCAGTTCCGTGCTCAGGCTGCATGCCCTGGAGGTGGGGCAGTTCTGTCCCGGTGTATGATAACAACTGACAGGAGACAGCGACCCCCTAAATGGTAGAGCAGAGTCCAACTAATCCAGAAAAGAGTGATGGGGGTGGAAGGAAGGAAAGAATGGTGAGTAAACGAATGAATGATCCGTAGTCTCTTCAGAGACTGCATCCTGAGTGCTGGGTCCTGGGTAGTTTTGGTCACACATGTTCCCTGTCCCCCCAGGGGAGAGACACCCACACCATCCGCTCATTCCTCCTTCATCAGAAGCAATCGAGAGTGTGTTACACGCGGGCCCTGTGCTGGCTGCAGGTGTAGAGTGGGGAGTGAGATGGCAAAGTCTTTCCTTTCTACTCCAGTGGGAGTGACCCCAACACGTCCGGAAAGAAATAAGTAATGTCAAGTCCAGTGCAGGGAGGTTGATCATCTACCCGAGGGGGCGGCCTGGACATTCCCTGCACTGACTGATTGTTGATGCAGGTAATTTAGTTCTAGAGTAAATGGTGATGAATTCTCCATTTGCTCTCACTCCCTAGACCAGAATTTCTCCCTCTGAGCTGAGGACACCTAAGAAGAAAGGATCTCAACCGACAGCTGGTCTTGGGTCCACAGACACCTAATAAGGCCCCGGGTGGAGGAGAGGACGGGGCTGTAGCTGCAGACAGACCTCGTGTCTGCCGCGCATGGTCAGTGAGACCCTTGTTCAGAGACTGTATCTCCCTGTGCCTCAGTTTCCCCTCAATAAAATAAGATAAATGGTAAGTGGTCTCTATTTGCCATGTTGTCTATGAATTAACCTTAATACATCCCCAAATACCTGACCTAAATCTTGGTAAGGTGCAGATGCCCAAATAAACATCATCTGTTATTGTTTGCCTCCATGGGAGAGGGCCCCCTGGGCTGATCGCGGGTCCTTGAGGAACTGCCAGGAGCATCTTCTCTGCTTTGTTCCTCCTCTGGGGGCACTGACCTTCCTCTGGAGTCTCCTAAGTCTCCCAGGGCACTCAGATAATACCCTGGGGACCTTACACATCTGCGCTCCCCACGCTGAGTCTCAGGTGAAGGATCAGGCTCTGCCCCTGCCCAGGTGTGGCTCTTGGGGCTGAGCCCTGGCTGGTGACCAGCTCAGGAGCCTTAAGACTCAGGCAGCCAGGAAATCCTTGCTCCCGGTCAGCGCTGCCCACAAGGCCAAAATCTAACCCTGGCACAGTCTCCCCAGGGTCACTGGAGTCAGGGTCCCTGGGACAGGGGTTTGTGCAGGGACTTCCCAGGGCTCAGCTTCTCTGTGAGGATCCCAGGTGGTCCCTCAGGTCAGCCCCTGACCAAGCTCTGCAGGGTCTTCCTCAGATTGTTGGAGTCTGGATGCTGGGAAAGGAATTCTGATCTTATGAAGTTTGTCTCCACTGTGTGTGTCCTGCACTAAATGCTCAAACTCCAACATGGGATGTAATGCAGAGGGGGATGCAGGCACAGTCCAGGCCTGTCAATCCTGTGTGTGAAGTAGAATTCACCCCACCCAACACTAGAGGTCAGAGAGGAATCACTCACGGTATACGCGGAGCTGTCCCATTCCTACTTCAGTTAGCAAAGTTGTCTTTATGACTCGTAGGGTGTAGTATCCTGTGTCCTTCTGGGTGACATTCTGGAACAGCAGGGATCCGTTGGGGTATATTGTCTCTCGACCACTGTATACAGGCCCTGGGATAATTACTTGTCTGCCTATCACATAGGTTGCAATTTGTTGACTGGAATCTACTCTGTCCCCTTTGTACCAGCCAAAACCGACAAGCCTCCCAGGCAGATTGTGGACAAGTAGAATAACATCCTTTCCTTCAGCAGCTTTGCTCGGCACCGATTCAATAGTGAGTTGAACAGTGGTGGGCGGGTTCCAGAAGGTTAAGAGCGAGACTAGAAGGGAAGAGAGAGAGATCAATCAATATTTGGACCTATGTATTGGGATGGAAAGATGAGGCCCTGGGTCCTGAGCAGGTCTCTTCATCTCTGAGACTTGGAGTGTGTGTGAGTGTGAGTGTGTCTCTGTGTGTGTGTCTACTGGTCAAGGTCAGCAGCATGACCACCATTACTTCAGCCCCTCTGAACTTGTTATTTCCTCTGTTCATAAAACTCTTCCCGGGTGTCTGCCTGGCTCACTCCCTCACTGCCCTCAGAGCCCTGCTCACTTTCAGGGGCGTCCTTGGGAGATGCCTTCCCTGACCTCCTGCTCTAAAGACTCTCTGTGTTCACTGTCTGACCTTTCCTGCTCTGTTCCCTTCATGGCACTTGTCAGTCCCTGACATCACATTCTAAATCTCTTTGCTCATCTGTCCTCCTCCCCATGGAATGTGAGCTCAGTGAGGGCAGGGACTTGTGTGATCTAGTTGTACCCCCAGTGCCTGGAACAGGCTGCAAACACCTGTGGATGAGTGAATAAGTGTCTCCAGGGCCCTCCACGTCCTGGTGTTTATTTGCCAGTTTCTGAGGTTGGTGGATAAGGATAATTTTAGTGCCACTGGTTAAGTGTTTTTTTTCGGTGTCACCTCACATAAATTATTATTATCATCAGTTTTCAAAATTCAGTAGTCAGCGATGAATAACTTGGGAAACGAATAGTAAGTGAGATTTTCCTGCCCCTCACCAATTCCAGTTCACTGAGAATTTCCTGTTGCTGCGTCCCCTCCCCCATCCTACTCTGCTCCCGTGTCCTTTCCCCTTAGGTTCAAACAGAGGTTTTGTCCTCTCTCAGAGCCCTGTCCTCCCCAGGTGACCCCACCCAGTCTCTGTCCTCCCGTCCTCCCTCCCTCCCACCCACCCTGAGGGAATGGTCCCCTCTCACCGGCCAGCAGGAGCCTCTGCCAGTGGCCGTGCCCTCTGTGGGCAGGGGCTGAGGGGGGCTCCATGGTGTCTGCTGCCTGCTCTGTCCCTCCCTCTGTGAGGAGAGCTTGGGCTCCAGAAATGCTCACAAGGGCTGTGGCTCCTGATGCCTCAGCTCTGCTGTCCTTCCTCCCTCTGTGCTGAGCCTCCTGCTGGGGCAGGAGCACTTTGCCTGTCACGTGGGCCAGGGGCGGGGTCTGTGCCCAGTACTGTCCCTCTCCCTCCCCTCACTCCTGCCTCCCTCTTCCCCTTCTTGCCCTTTCACATCTGTCTCTATTTCTGTTCCCTGGGAGCTGCTGAAGCCTCTGCCTTCTTCAGCAGTGATTCTCATCACTACACACACACACACACACACACACACACACACACCCTTGTTTGGACAAGCATGAGCGTGGGGCATGGTGTCCTGGTCAGTCCCTACAGCTTCGGATGGGGGTGCACAGTCAGCCACCTCCCCCCATTCACATCTGGCTTTGTTCTTTTGAGCAGGAGCCTGGGGGCTACATCAGGAACTCTTGTCATAGGGATGTCACCCCCATTGTGCTTTGGAATCCACTTGTGAACGTTATGAAGATTGTGAATGTCCAGGTGACAGGTTAGAAATGCTACTTTAGCAGGTGCTCTGGTAACATGGATGCCCTGCCATGCTGAGACCCCATGATGTGAGGGTGGGGCAGCCTCTCCCCATCTCCTGTGCACAGGGAGGGTCTGCAGATCTGTTAAGATGCAGATTCTGAACCGGCAGGTGTGGGGTGGACCCGAGAGTCTGCATCTAACAAGCTCTCAGGTGATGCTGATCACACTGGCCTGTGGAGCACACTTTCAATAGCAAGGCTGATGGGGACCCCTGTCCCCTGAGAAGATGACCCACCTGCCCCAGCATTGGCCTCTGCTGTGTCCTGGCCTTGGGGTCTGTCAGCACCACACAGAGACCCGGGGGTCTCCAAACCCAGGGGATTATTTCCATTTGTGACACAGAAACCCAGCTGGACGCCAGGGTCTTCCCAGTGTCCTCAAATGCTCTGGGAAGGTTGGATTTACTCTCAGCAGGAAGGTCACAGAGATGGCTCTGGGGATGAGAAAGGGGCAAGCTGTGTGACGACTGGTGAGGGGATCCGCCCTCCGTCTCCAGTGTCATCAACCTGGCCTTTGCTTTCCGGGACAGACACCCAGTATGGGTGTGTCAGAAGGAGCTGCAGTTCCCGGGTGTGAAGGGGGAGGTTTCCTGTGTGTCCTGGTGAAAGGATGGTGGTGGTGGGAGGTGGTGGCTGTGGGCTCCCTTGTCCTCAGGGGAAGATTTCAGGGAGACCACCCCCCTTCCCCGTGTCTGTTGGTTGAGCTGTGGCTCAGAGCCTGTCTATGTGCTCCCTGACCATCCTGGGGCGTCTGTCCTCTGCCTGGCTGACTATCCTGTGGTCATTCCAACTTCCCTATGGTTGGTGCCAGGCGGGGAGTGGGGACCTGCAAAGGACCCCAAACAGAACAGGGTGCTCTGAGTACCTTAGAGGGGCGGGTGGGACAGAGCAGGCATTTAGGCGGGGCCCAGAAGGATCTGTTGGACCAAGGGATGGAAATCAGGCTCCTTCTCCACCTCAGCCAAAACCATGTTCATGTGTTAATTTCCTGCTAATTGTGTGTCCCAATTTCACCCCCTGGAGTACATGAGGAGACCTGCAGCCAATGTCAGGGGCTGAGCCAGGGATACTAACCAGGCTGCAAAGGGTGTAAGCTGACCCTGAGCCTTGGACAGAGGTGGGCTCTGAACTCCAGGATGAGGGGCCTCTCAGCATGGGCCCTGTCACTGGGGATCCCGGGCTGCCTGACTCCATCCCAGCTCAGGGTGAGCCCAGGGAGAGGCGAGGCGATGTCCAGTGGACTCCTGATCCAGTGTCCTGTGCTGCCTGGTGGGTTTTCTGCCTCAGCAGGAGCTCTTTGCCCCCAGAGTTCAAAGGAAGGGCCCAGTGAATGGTCTCTTGAGGTCTCAAGGCACCCTGGGAGGTCTCAAGGCCTGGGAGTCTGGTCTCCATAATGGCCTGTGTTTCTCCATCACAGCACTGGGACATTGTATCCAAGTTATTTTATCCCTGTTTGTCATCTGCTATAGATTTCCACATAGGGTCCATGACCTGGAGCAACACCACATGGAGACTCAGCCAGGGGATCCCCTGGTTTCCTCTGTTATAGGAGGGGAGGCCCCTGTGGGACCCTCAGCCCTTCTGAGATGGAAGCAAATGCAGATCCTGGTTCTCCTGTCCCATCCTGGGTGAGAAATTCCTCTTGTTTCCCCTGACACTTTGGGCTGGTGCGATGTCTTCCTGGGTCCACAGCCAGGTGTCCCCACTGACCAGGGATCCTGGGGATGGGGAGTCACACCCTGGTTCCTTTGTGATCAGGGTAGGGCTGTGACCCGCCCTGGTGGTAACTCCACCTTGGGTGGAGGATCCAGAGTTTGTGTCAGGTCAGGTCTGTGTGAGTAGCGGAAGGACCCAGGACTTCTCTCGGGGGAGAGAAGTCACTCACAAGGAAGAGATGGGGAGGGGGTGTGATATTCTGGGAGGAATGGGAATCTGACCCCTCAGTGTCAGGAGGCCCCTGTCCTCCCTCCGGACTCTACAAGGGGTAAAGACTCATCCCCAGGACAGCTGTGGGCACTTGCTGGCCTCCTCCCATGCTGACGCCAGTGCTCCTGTGTCTACACAGAACGTGTTCTGACACCCCCAGTGTCACGGGGGTGACACACTTCCACTGTGTGGTTTCCCTCATTTGTTTAACGAGTGTTTATTCAGCAGCTGTTACTGGGTACAGACAGGGATGGCTGGGTATCTGGTCTGGCTTAGGTCTCACCCTCATAGACGTTGTTGCTGGAGTGGTTGCTTCTGTTCAGAGTCCACCCTGGGCACAAGGAAGGGATTGATCCTGGTGGCCCGTGACCTGGCTCCGCCTCCTGCTCTCACTGCAGGTTCCTTGTCAAACCTCCGTCTCCCATTCTGGCACCAACTGAGGCCTCAGCAGCCCCTTCCTGGCACCGGGGTCTGGATGCTATCGGGTGCCAAGCCGACTAAACCCTCCACCTCACCTGACTCTCCTGGCTTAGGAGAGAAGGGCCAGGTGACGGGATCGGGGTGTCTTGTGGGAAAGCACCTCCAAGCCTCGGGGACCGCCTCTTGTGGGGACTGTCAGGTGGCATCTTGGTGGGTGGTCGCAGAGCTGCCTGTGAGAGCTGAGTGTGGGGTCGGTGCTTTCCAGTAGGTATTTGGCTTCCAGAACTTCCCCATGTCCCTGGACTCGGCTGAGGCAAAGAGCACAGGGTTCTGGTGATGGTTGGGATGGAGCCACAAAGAGAGCGCAGGGCTCGCTGGCCTCGACACACATCCACCCATCAGCACCCTGCCAACACAGGGACATCAGGTCGCAGGGAGAGCCTGGGGCGTCCGCACTGTCTTGAGGACCAGGGGAGCTGGAGCCTGGGCTCCTTCTGTTGCTGGTTGCAGGTGGCGGGATCTGGGAGAGGACCCAGGAGCCACCTGTAGTTTTGTGTTTGAGATTTAAAGGGAAAAGGGGAGGAGGCCGGCTGGCTGGTGCAAGCGGTTCAGTGTGTACACTCCGCTGTGCTGGCCCGGGGTATGCAGGTTCGGATCCCGGGCGCGCGCTGATGCACTGCTTGTCAAGCCATGCTGTGGTGGCGTCCCATATTAAAAAAGTGGAGGAAGATGGGCACGGATGTTAGCCCAGGGCCAGTCTTCCTCAGCAAAAACAGGAGGATTGACAGATATTAGCTCAGGGCCGATCTTCCTCTCACACACACACAAATAAATGAAGGGAAAAGGGGAGTCATTTCTACCAGGTCACAAAATTGTAGGTAGCCTGTTGACAGAAGGACACTCTTACATCATTGTAAAACTAACAGAATGCACTGGATGCTCTTTTAAGGAAAAACAAATGTCTGTTTTAATCAGTAACTGTGATGCATGTTTTATTCTTCTAGTTCATTATTAATGTCACTTTTTGTAGTTTATCTCTTAAGGAAATGGTGAAAGCCGAGCAGGGTCCATGTTTTAGCACAGGAATGCGGATTTTATGTGGACTCTCCTATGATTTTAATGCCTTCCTATAATCTTCTGTGAACACTAATGTGATTTGTCTTTGTCCATTTCTACCGGTCATCCCTGTGGAGAGAGTCGCATTTCTCCCTAAGAGTTGGAAAGCCTCCAATACTAAAAAAAAGTGTCCAAATCCTTCTGGGTGATGATGATGGCACTCAAGTGGAGGTCTGCTCAGGGTGGGAGAAGGCATCTGTTTTTGAGAACTTTTCCCTGAAAATCACAAGCAGAAGGCACCTCTTGGACCTGTCACAATGTTGGGATGGAGGATGGACAGAAATAGAGGTTGGTAATCGAAGTATCAAATCGAAGATGGACAACACATTCTGCCCAGAGCTTGGGGATGGGTGAATGGCAAGGACACTAACAAGACCCCTCCTCAGTGAGGGTGCATCAAAGGCTCTGTGCTTAAGAGAGGAGCCTCGAGCTGGGGAGCAGGGTGCTGTCAGCCCACAGGTGCTGGGAATGAGACCCCAACACTGGCCAGTCTGTGACGAAGTCCACTTTTTGGGTGTAGATTCATCCTTAAGGAATGATGCCAAGATATATGATTCTGAAAATAATGAGATATTCCTTTGATATTATTTTCTTCTTAATAAGATATTTTTTCCTAATGATACAATGACTTTGCATTCGTTGCTAAGCTGCGTCTTAAGATGGTAAGAACATCAGACTAGGTGGTCTAATGACATTGCATCTAGATTTGTTATCGTGTATTTTTTCATCTCAACATCTATAGTATTTCCCTCATCTCACGTTGCTGTATAACCCAGTGGTGTCATTCTGACTTGTGGTTACACCCTTTGAAACACCACAGGGGCCAGCCCAGTGGTGTAGTGGTTAAGTTCGCGTGCTCCGCTTCGGTTGCCCAGGGTTCGCAGGTCCGAATCCTGGGTGTGGACGGACACATCACTCATCATGCTGTGGCAGGTGTCCCACATATAAAATAGAGGAAGATTCGCACAGATGTTAGCTCAGTGCCAATCTTCCTCACCAAAAAAAAAAAAAAAAAAAGAGAAACACCACAGTCTTCCAGCTGGTGAGC